TTGGAAGGTTTTGATAGAGACATACACTTGTATAACAAACACACCTATCAAAAGAGAACATCCCATTATCTCAGGACGATCCCTCCTGTCACTTCAAGCAAATCACTGTATCTCTCTGGAAGCAACCACTGCTCTGCTTTCTATCAATGTAACTTGGTTTTACCTACTCAGGGATTTTATAGAAATGGAAGTGTATGTACTCTTTTTTTTTAGTTGGCTTCTCTTTGTGTATGTTTGAAACTCACCTACATTCTTGAATTCATCAGACATTGCTTCATTTTATAACCAAGTTGTATTTCATTGTATGAATATACAACAATATGTTCATCTGTGCACCTATTAATGGACATCTTACCTTTTTGCAGCTTTCAGCTCTTATGAAGAAAGCTATTTCAAACATATATATACAAATTCTTTTGTGTGCACACAAGGCTTTTATTTTGACCTATCACATGTTTTTAGTTTTTGTTGTTGTTGTTTGGTAAACACCCAGAAATGGAATTGCAGGGTCATGGGGTATGACATATTACTAAATTTTTCATCTACTAAAGTGATCATAAAATATTTTGTCTTTTATTCTTAATGTATTGAATGGCAATGATTTATTTATAAATATTAAACAAACCTGAATTTCATAATAAATTGCTTTTCTTCCTGATATATTATCCCTTTGATATATTACTAAATTTTATTTGGTAACATTTTTGAGGATTTCTGCATCCCTATTCATGAGTTATATTGATCTGTAACTTTTGTTCTTCTAATCTTTGTTGGTTTTGGTATCAGGTTAGTGTAGACCTCTTTTTATATTTTCTAAAAGAGTTCACATAAGACTGGAATTATTTCTTCCTTACATGTTTGACGGAACTCACCAGTGAAACCATCTGGCCCTTGAGTTTTTTGGTGGGAATATTGTTAACTATAAAATCAATTTTTTTAGTAAGTACAGGGCACTTTTAGGATGTATTTTTGTGTCAGTTTGGATAATTTGTATCTCACAAGGGACTTATCAGTTCCATCTAATGTATCTGGTTTGTGGGCATTCTATTTATGCTAGTCTCTTACTATGCATTCATTATCTATGTAGCATTGCTAGTGATGCCTGTTCTTTCATTTCTGATGTTGATCATTTGTGTTTTCTCTTATTTTTTCATGATTCACCCGGCTTGAAGCTTATCAATTTTTTTTAATGAATGAACTTTTTCTTTTGTTGATATTTTCTGCTATTTGTTCCCTTGTTCTTCATTGATCTCCACTTAATCTTTATCATTCCTATGGATTTGTTATTATATAGCCTAGGGTTTTCATTTTACTTCTGCCACTGGTTAGTTTGAGTAGCTCTAAACCCACTTACCCTCTCTGAAACTTAAGTCTCTCCTCTGTACCACAGAAACAGTGATTCCCATGTTACATAGCTTTTGTGTGGCTAAAATGAGTTATAGATGTAAGTTACTTTTCACAGCATCTGGTGCACTCTAAGGAATCCATGGTTGTCAGCGTTTCCTCGCCTCCGTATCAATGAAGATAAAGGAACGTGCGTAAGCTAAGGTTCATGTGTCTAATCAGTCAGGAGACAGATTCTCTGAAAAAGTCAGTTTCTCACTAAGTCTTGGGGTTTAGCTGTTGTTGTTCTTTGCCCCAAGAAGCATTGGTCAGTGATGAGGGATCACTTAGTTTTCTCCAGGTGCAACAAGTATTCCATGCATGTTTGAATACAGGCTAGGTCTGCCTATAGCCTCATGATTTGGCCCTTTCAACTAATACTATTCCTGTGACAACCAACAAAAAGACGATAGAAAGAAGTTAGGGAAACTAGAGATCAAAGAAAAATAATGAGATGGGCTTCAAAGTGCAGAGAGAGAGGAAAAAAGGACGGACACTGCAGAAGAAATGGAGTCTAATGGCAGAGAGCAAACAAGGCTGAGACCGTGATGCTGCTAGCACCATCAGCAAAGAGACCTGCTTCTCAGAACTCATAGAGACACTCCAGGGCAGAGAGAAACTTGCGGGGCTGGGGCCGCTCTGAACAGGGCTCAGATCTTCCAAAGCAGACACTGCCCAGAGCATCATAGCTTACTTCCTGAACTTCTGAATCACCAAGTGAGTTTAGCTTAGAAATGGTAATTCATAAAGTTCTTTAAATTTGAACTTTCTTTCATGAGAAAGAAAATCCTAATTTTTCATTGATTTTTCCCCTAAAATAATTAATCTATATTTTCATTTAGAAGGAATCACTGAGAGAAGAGAGTGAGCTGTAGACATTATAGAGCCGGGGTCCCCAACTCCGGGTACCAGTTCATGGCCTGTCATGAACTGGTCCACACAGCAGGAGGTGAGCAGGTGGGGAGCCAAAAAAGTTTCTTCTGTATTTACAGCCACTCCCAGGGCTCACATTACTGCCTGAGCTCTGCCTCCAGTTAGATATCTAGATTCTCATAGGAGCACGGAACCCTACTGTGAACTGCCCACATGAGGGATCTACACTGCATGCTCCATCCTGCCCCACAAAACTGGTCCCTCATGCCAAAAAGGCTGGGGGCCTCCCTTACAGAAGAAAGGAGGGATTACCAATAAGAACATGGATAGCCAAGTTTTGTGCTCCTCAAATGGGTCAGACAGTACTAGGTGCTCTTGCAAAGTCAGTTCTCCTTCACAAATTCAATTCTCCTTCACAAGCCAGAGACACAACCCAGGTAGAGTAATACACAAAAGGAAATGTTATTGAGCTCATTTTGGACAAGGTATGTGAACTCTGAATTGCATGTGTGTCTCCAATATAGGGCTAGGAGGCAAGAGGCACATTGGGAAGCCTTGCTGTGCGAAATTTAGTTCAAGAATCAAAGCCACCAGGATTCCCAACAAATTTACGAGATATTCAGAATCTCAGGTGATTTCCCACACCCACTGAATCTGAATTCCAGGTCATTTGTATGCACTCTAAAAATTTTTTTTCCATTTATTTTTATTAGTTGGAGGCTAATTACTTTACATCATTGCAGTGGTTTTTGTCATACATTGAAATGAATTAGCCATGGATTTACATGTATTCCCCATCCCGGTCCCCCCTCCCACCTCCCTCTCCACCCGATCCCTCTGGGTCTTCCCAGTGCACCAGGCCCGAGCACTTGTCTCATGCACCCAACCTGGGCTGGTGATCTGTTTCACCCTAGATAATATACATGTTTCGATGCTGTTCTCTTGAAACATCCCACCCTCGCCTTCTCCCACAGAGTCCACAAGTCTGTTCTATACATCTGAGTCTCTTTTTCTGTTTTGCCTATAGGGTTATCGTTACCATCTTTCTAAATTCCATATATATGTGTTAGTATACTGTAATGGTCTTTATCTTTCTGGCTTACTTCGCTCTGTATAATGGGCTCCAGTTTCATCCATCTCATTAGAACTGATTCAAATGAATTCTTTTTAATGGCTGAGTAATATTCCATGGTGTATCTGTACCACAGCTTCCTCATCCATTCGTCTGCTGATGGGCATCTAAGTTGCTTCCATGTCCTGGCTATTATAAACAGTGCTGCGATGAACATTGGGGTGCATGTGTCTCTTTCAGATCTGGTTTCCTTGATGTGTATGCCCAGAAGTGGGATTGCTGGGTCATATGGCAGTTCTATTTCCAGCTTTTTAAGAAATCTCCACACTGTTTTCCATAGTGGCTGTACTAATTTGCATTCCCACCAACAGTGTAAGAGGGTTCCCTTTTCTCCACACCCTCTCCAGCATTTATTGCTTGTAGACTTTTGGATAGCAGCCATCCTGACTGGCGTGTAATGGTACCTCATTGTGGTTTTGATTTGCATTTCTCTGATAATGAGTGATGTTGAGCATCTTTTCATGTATGCACTCTAAAATTTAAGAATCCTTGAATTAGAAAATGAAAAGAGACTGCCAGTTATCCCCACTGCAATTATACCAGGCCATTTACCTTCAGCACTCTGTTTTTGTTTCTTCATAGTGATGGAAAGGACTACAAAAGTGGTCATTTTCCATGCTGGAGGCTGCCATGTAAGAGAAAGAAGACTTGGGCTGGAAGCTTTGCTTTGTCACCAACATGGTGACATAGGGAAGGTTATTTTTCTAAGTCTCCATTTCTGTTTCTGCAAAATGCAGCCAATACATGTAATTCGTGGTGTGGAGAGTATGATTCATGCTACACCTCTCCCCAGGTAACTTCAATGACTCGTCAAAGACTATAAATTAACATGCATTGTGTCCACAAACATCACTGAAAACTCTTGACTCTAACCCTGTCCTACTTTCCTGTCTTCACTGTCCATTATATTTTCCCCCAAACTCCATAATTCTACGTTTCCTTCTAATTTAGTTTTCACTTTTATTTTCCATCCCTTATGTCTATGCTATTCCTTCTACCAGGAATGGTCTCCTCTCTACCAAAACCCTACCCACCCAGGAAAACTCAGTTGGTTCAAACACATCTTTGTAATAAAGCCATCACCAGTAGCACTGACTGGACATCATTTAACATTTATCTGTTGCCATAGAATGACTTGACCTTCTCTCTACAACGGTCATCTTCCATGCTTTTTTTCGTTTTGTTTTTGAGTTGGAGCTGGTTGCATATATTTCTGAAATCACCTCAGGAATGCAAAATACTCAATGAAAGAAGTGGTTTTTTAATTGATCATTATCATTTCCTCAACCACTAAAACAGTACTTTCACATAAAAGTTTTGAGGAATTTAGAAAGAAAATAAAGGAAAAGAACACTTCTTAAGACACTGGCATATCTGGAGGAAGTTTTGCTCTGAAAATTATCTGAGTGACATTTCTATGAGGTAGAAATAAAATTTCTAATGACGTGTGTGTGACTGTGAGAGTGTGTGTGTCTGTGTGTGAGAGTGTGTGGTTGGCTGGGCGCCGAGGAGTGGCGCACCCTGGAGCGGGAGCAGGCGAGCGCGGCGACGTGCTGCTGCCGCCGCCTGGGCCACATGACGCGTAGAGAGCCTCACGGCCAAGGTGCCAGCCATGCTGGCCCGGCTAGACGAGCACGTGGCCTTCGGCTTCGCGCTCAAGGGGACGAAGACTCGTTCCCGCTCCCGCGACCCCGCCCACCGCCGCCGCCAACTCCACCCGGGCTTCTTCTGGGGCCGTGGCCGTGGTCGGCCCGGGGCCACGGGCAGCTGTGCCGCCCCTCCCTCCCATAGGCGCTTTGCGGCGGCCGCGTGCTCTCGGACGATCTGGTGCGCCACCCGAGCCTGCGCCGCGAGGACCTGCGCGCCTGCGCCGGGAGGACGCGTCGTCAGGCGCCTGATTGGCGCCGGTGAACGTGCCCCGCGAGCACGACCTCCACGTCGAGTGCACGTCCCGCCGCTGCCACAGCCGTCCCTGGTGACGCACAGGCAGAGTCCGGCGAACGTGTTGCAGAAGCTCCAGACCTAACGCGCGAGGGCCGCCTCTGCCGGCGGGAGGTGTAGCCGCCGCCCTCAACGAGCCGTCATTTAGGACGGCGTCTGTCCCTTGACGGCCCAGCCAGCCCGCGCGCCCCCGGGACGCCGGCGTCTCAGCCCAGCGCCAGGCGGTACTGGGACGCCTCCCGTCGCCTTCCGCAGGCAAAGCCAACAGCCTCCGCATTGTCCTCAGCGAGAGGCTGACCCTCTAGAGGAGCCAGCTGACCTGGGGACCACGGGCTTCCGAGCAGACGCCGAGCAGCGGTGAACGACTCCTCGGCCATAGAACCAGCCCATACCCACCCGAGAGCATCTTGTTCTGGGCCTGGAGCCGCCGTCATATCCAGGCATGAAATGTCAGTTCCTGGATTTAAGTATGTGACCGGGCGAGGGCGCGTCAGCAGGCAGCCCCTTGGGGCATGTCCACTTACCTGCCTCTCCCAGGCCGGTGCCAAGGAGCCCGCGGGTGGAGCTGGCAGGACTCGCAGGACCTGACTCCAAAGAAAACTGCCCAACCCCGTCGGGGCAGGGGACAGTGCGCCCTGCAGCCACCGTCCTGACCGTCCGCCTGCACCAAGGGCCGTGACCACGTAACCTGGGCCCTGGCACTTGGAGACTCGCAGTGGGATGCAACCCAACAGTTTTCATCGAAGTGCTTCACCGTATGGGGTCAGGTCATCTCTTGCGTCTCCTGCTGGTATCGTTTGTCCGTGTCATCTAGTAAGTCTGTTGCGTGTGAATCAGCTTTCCTGGTATTTTAATCTGTGTCTGGAGTGAATTTGTGGTACATGTAGTTCAGAGCTTGCCCGTGATTTATTTATAAATTTTGTGACTTTGGAATAGTTTAAGTTGGGAGTGTATATGTCTCTGTATGTTTTAACTTATTTAAGAATTTTCTTTCAGAACTTGGGGGGGGGCGGTGAAAAGACAGTACTGGAGTGGGTTGCCACTTCCTCCTCCAGGGATTCTTCCAGACCCAGGGATTGAAATTGCCTCTCCTGCATCGGCAGGCAGATTCTTTGCCATTGAGCCACCTGGGAATTCATACTTATCTAATAATAAGAAGGTGGGAGACAGAGATGGTGTATATTATTCTATGGAGAGAAATTCCATTAATTTGTGACTCAATCAATACAAATTGAATACTTACTGTGTGTTCCTTGACCTCCAGATTGCCCTTTCATGCTTTCCTTTAGTTTGGAATATTGGAGAGGCAAGATTTTTATTACTTCCCTATAGACTGAAATTATCTTGTTTGTTGCTCATTTGAGATTAGCTGAGGGCTCATTTCTTGTTAAAGTATGGACATCCTTACAAAGGGTATGAGGGCCAGTTTGTACCAAAAAAAATTCAGTGAGAGATATTTACAGAGAATACACTAAGCAGGAAATCAGTAGATCAGGTTCAAGTTCTAATTCTAGAACTGTGTGACTCTGGTCAAATCACCTAACCTCTCTGAACTTTATATAATGATTACTATGCTCAAATAGGCAACTAATGCTTGTCTTTTTGTAATTGGTTAATAGTGAAGAATTATATATATATGCAGGCCATTGCTGGTAAATTCAGCTCATAGGACAAGTTCAGATAGGCCAGTAGACTGCAAACTACTGGGTATATAAGCCAGTAACTGTAATTTAGTGCTGTGTGTGTGTGTGTGTGTGTGTGTGTGTGTGTAAAGGACAAGTAAGATGAGTGTCAAGTTGCTTGGTATTTGCCCCCACCTTGACCCCAGATAAAGTTCTCTATTTTATCCCCAAAGAGTCAGCAGACCACAGACTCCTTCCTCCATACCCCAAATCTAGTTACTGAAGGGGGTTCAATGTCAGAGTCCAAAACACCTTCTAAAAGTGGTATAAAGAACAGGAAAACAGAATCAGAGCTGGCTTAAAAGTCAAAACTGCCGTTTTCCTCTGGAAGTATTTTGAATGAAAAAGGTGGCTCAATGAGGAAGGAGAAAAGATAATTTTATTCAGCTTATATCACTTTACCTCTAAGCACACAACAGCTAGCACAAAAGTGCAATAGTAAAGGCTATGGGTTTTGGAGTTGGACTGAACTGAGTTTGAAGCTCTGAAGGTTCAAAGATTTGTACTCTACTTGTAAGCTAGTAAGTTTGCTGGTCACAGTTTAATGGGTATTGGTATGAAACATAAGACTCCTGTATCAGAGACAATGGCCAATTTACTACTCACTGCAACAGCAATTGTTAGAGTATTAACATTTTTGTCAGTTCTCTAAGCCCCAATTCCCATGGGGTAATACAAAGAAAGTCTGTTCACACCTGAATACACAACAGGTTGTGGTACAGGAGAGGGACTCTGGGTGTGAGAACCCAAATCTTTTATAATGTGCAGTAAGCTTGCCTGGCCCGCCATCCAAAGGGAGACACTGTCTTACTCACTTTACTCTGCTGGATAGTAAGCCTGCCTGACTTTTGTTTCAGAGAAGAACGCAATTCCTATCTTTCAAGACTCTTCCCCATACAGACATCCTGGAAAAGATGGTCCAGAACAGAGGCAATCAGTGCCTCTGTTCCACATGGAAGACCATGGGGAACTGTCTCGCAACAGGTTATGTCTCTTACTGGGTATGATTAAGAATCAATGAGACTTCCCCTGGAATCAGTCAGTCAAGGTGACTCAGTGGTTAGACTTAGCCTTCCAATGCAGGGGATGCAGGTTGGATCCCAGCTTGGAGAGCTAAGATCCCGCATAGAAGCGACTGAAAAACCAAAACAGAAGACAACAATATTGCAACAGACTGAATAAAGACTTTAGAAATGGTCCACATTGAACAAACAAACAAAAACCTTTAAAAAGAGTCAAATTTTACTTCCCTCTGAGTGTTGGTTGTGGGTTTGTTTGTTTTTATATAGTGCAGATACCAGTAGCACTTCTCTCACAAAAATAAAATGCATTAATCTGTGTTAAGTTCTTAGTGCTGCCTAGTGTCAGAGTGGTTGCTAGTTTAAGGTCACAGAATGGCAGTGGATTGTGGGTAGAAATTCCTTATTATCTGCCCCTAACCCATAGTCCAGCCTGGTGGACAGAGGCAGCCCAATGTGATGGAAGAGCAAAGTATAGAAGAGTTAACTGATGATTGCCCAAGTCAACTGATTCAAGATTAACACTGAAAGTTGCTTTCAGAGTACTTTCATATCTGCCTGCATCCCTTCAGCATCCTTGGTCCACCCATTAAAGAACTTACTGATCAGCAATCATCTACCAGGAGCTGTGGACCTGCAAGTTCCCTCCAGCTGCTCAGGACTCCGTGTTTGGTTCAGTAATATGGACAGGCAATGTCTTATTGAAAGTCATGTCTTAAAATTATGTACCATGGCCTCTTAAGATCTAAGAATCCTAGACTTAGTGGAAGTGATTGGTGTGTGAGAATTCCAGTTCCTTAAGAATACACTTTTCTTCCCTAAATCTGTGTTTCCCAACCTTCACTATCCAAGATATGACTTGGAAACACTAGGAAAATCTTCCTCATTCCCTGACCTCCACCTTCTAATTGAGAGCTCCTGCTATCACTTTCTCCTATCTTATCCACACATCGACTTTATATCCATCCTATTTCCTACTCTCTTTTTTGTTTTCTCTTTTTTAATTTAATCAATCATGAATTGAGTACTAAACTATGGAGACACCACCATACAGTTTGTTATTTGGGCTGGGTAACAGTGGACCCGCTCCAGTGTTCTTGCCTGGAGAATCCCACAGACGGGGGAGCCTGGTAGGCTGCCGTCTATGGGGTCACACAGAGTTGGACACAACTGAAGTGACTTAGCAGCAGCAGCAGCAACAGATATACTACATGTTGGATATACCACATGTACAGATATACTAAGTATGCTAGAGTCTCTACTTACAGTTGCAGGAAGGAGGGTGAGGGGCAGATCATAAGCAGGGCCTGGCTGGGTCATGGTCAGTTCTTTGGCAGCAAGAGGGCAGCTGTGTTGCAGAATGTTAAACACCTCTGTTATCCCTAGCCTTGAGGCTAAGCTGGATGTGTCAAAGGAAAATCTGTCTTCTAAAACCGCTGAAGAAGCAGGTCATGTTGACAGTAATAGTTTGGTAACCTGCACTTGGCTAAATGGTGCTTGGTAAGTGATTGTTGAATGAATACATGAATGTACAGTCTTCATTATCTGGGGTTTTGCTACCTCCCTTCATCTTGGACACTGAAAGATCCTTGGCACACAGCCCTCCAAGAATACTCAAATTGGGATTTCCCTGGTGGTCCAGTGGTTAAGAGTCTGCTTGCCAATGCAGGGGACACAGGTTCAATCCCTGATCCAGGAAGATTCCATATGCCACAGAGCAACTAAGCACCACAATTGCTGAGCCCGTGTTCTAGAGCCCCTCTGCAATGAGAGAAGCCATCGCAACTAGGTAGCCTGCCCACTGCAACAAAGACCCAGTGCAGACAAAAATAAATAAAATTTTTAAAAAAGAAGACCCAAATTGTTCCATGGATGCTGACAGCCTAATTTCAATCCTGAAAGACTCGGAAGCATTCTGTCTTCTCGGGAGACTCAGAATCTGAAATGCAACTCACAAGCAGTGTTAGCCATAGAATGCCAAGAGAAGGGGAAGATTACCCTCAGGCAGCAAGCACCATAGCTCTTCTCCTCCAGACATTCCTTCCTTTGTTTTCAGAGCTTTGACTATCTATCCCAGAAGAGTAGAATATCTGGGAAGCCCTCACTAAGGATTCAATCTGTAAATTTCAAAGAAAACAGAAAACTGCTTTGAGAGGAAAAAACAAGAGAATGTATTTCAGACAAAGAGTGCAGCCTGGAGATTTTCCACATTATATATTACTTTAAGTGATATACTCTGTTATCAATCTGAGAACACATCAGTATATAGCAAAAAAATTATCCTTCAAGTCTTAGAAGAGTTTATTTACTTTTATCTTTACTTAATAAACATTTATAGATCTTTTACTAGTTACCAATGTGTGTACACTGTCTCATTTAATCTCCGTGTGTGCTGGCTAAGTTGCTTCACTCATGTCTGACTCTTTGCGACACTGTGGACTGCACACCACCAAGCTCCTCTGTCCATGGGCTTCTCCAGGCAAGAACACTGGAGTGGGTTTCCTTTTCCTCCTCCAGGGGATCTTCCCCACCCAGGGATCAAACCTGCATCTCATGTCTCCTGCCTTGGCAAGTAGTTTCTTTACCACTAGCACCACCTAGGAAGCATTTACTCTTCCAAACACCCCTAAGGTGGATAGCAGTGCTATCGACTACTGTCACTGCAAACATATTAGAGTTCAGATCGGGAAAATGGGCTGAGAGAATAATTAAGGTCAGAACTCAGAAGCTGCAGAGCCAGACTCTGAAATTGGAAG